CATCAGAAATATACCCAAAAGAACCGTTTTGATTTTTTCATTTCATAAAATTACCATTTCCGACAGTAGAACTCATGGTTTTATACCTGTTTATCTCCTTGTCCAATTAAATATGGTTCTACAGAGGATGAAAAGTGTCAGGTACTCTGTACCAGTGCTTCTCAATTATGAACAAGCATAGGAATCTCATGGACTCCCTGTTAAAACACAGGTTCCTGGTTGCCACCTGAAGTAAGTCTGATGGAAGAGGTCTGGGGCGGAGCTAGAGAATTTGCTATTTTATTTGGTTGGTGAAAAAGTAATTGTGGTTTTTGCCACTGAACATAATGCCAAAAACCCACAATTACTTTTGTGATAATGTAATAGTGGAAATGTTTCAAGTACCAGGAAAACATTTTTAGTAGCACTCTCTAGGTGAATTTATTCCTTCATTTTCCAATAAAAGAATAACTAGGTAGTGGGAATCTGGCCACATATCCTCATCTCTATAGAGGTGTAACAAAAAAATGACAGATTTTGTGTTCCCTTCTTTTTTATTTGCTTTGAATATTGAAATCACATTTTTCAATTATTTTAAAAGATAAATTTTGGGATTAATCAAGAAGCTGGGAGACTAGGTTCATCCAAGCACATGCTCATCAGAGCATTTTGTCTAGCAAATTACTAGAAAGCTCAAAAAAAGAATCAGCCTCTGAGGAGTGTCAACTCCTTTCATCCTGGCTCCTGTCACTTTAACTCTGACCCTCCCACACCTGACTTTTATTGGATGTTTGGCTTATCCTTCATTGATTGACAAGTTTCATTACTTCTTTTTTTTTTTTTTTTTTTTTGACAAGTTTCATTACTTCTATACCACATTGGGAAAAATAACTAACAAGTAAAAATAACAAGTAATAAGAACCATATCGTTTACATTTTTAAAAGAAAGGCTACACCATGTGGCTTGGAATTGACTGAATCCTAGGACTGAATCCTCGTGGAACCATGGACTTTGTCACATGGTATCTTCAACCTCTAGGCAATTTGAGTGTATAATGACCTCCAAATTTCAGGAGACTCTTATAATGTATTTTATTAAATAGTTAAATGTCTCAACTTTCAATATTTTATCACAATCACTTCAGAAGTTTCAGCAAGCCGTTTGTGGAATTGTTAAATATTTTGGAGAAACTTCCATATTCTTCATTGTGTCTATTACTGGACTGAAATTCTAGACACTCTCTTTGTAATTATCTGTTTTATGAGATCTTGGATAAGGCACTATACTTCTCTCAGCTTCACTTTCACTCATCTGAAATAAAAATTGGGTCAGATGATCTGTATCACTCTTCTCTTTCAGTTCAGAATTATTCCAAAAGCCAGTTCCTTGTGCCACATTTCTTAGACAATTTTCTTTTGGAGGTGGTGAATATACATACTCTCTATCCCTGAGAAAGAAGAAAGATGAAGGATAAAATTAGGTTTCCACGTTTTTCATGTAGAAAACTGTATTAAAATTATTTATAGGACTTCAACTACTTCCCCAGGCCAATTTTCTAATCCCAGAGGTAATGTTTAGGTTCTCTATAAACCTGTATTGCTTAATTACTTATACCCTTGGAGAAATCATATTACTACTCACTGCAATTTAATTGACACTAGAGAGTGGTGTTACTTGATCGGTTTAAGACATTATCACACTCCAGATTTCTTTAATAAGAATAACTTTCTGAATTCCTAATATGGATTTTTAGAGAGGTTTCATAAATATACACAATGTCAATTAAATGCTGCTTAGCATCATATACATATAAAAAGACACCATTTGAAACAGGATCTAAAAGAACTAGTTTCGACTTATACCACCTCTAATTTTAATAACAGTTTGACAAAAACTTGGCTTTTCTTATGCTTCCGTAGAAAATCTTTAACTTTAAAAGGAGCCAGAGCCTTGCCATACAGGGCCCCAAGCCAGCCATTTACAACTTGGAGTCTGTTGTTCTGCATCCAAGCGTGTCACTTCATCAGAGCTAAAGCATCTCTTTTAAATCTGGAGAACAGCTTTCTGGGCAGAGTGGGAACGGAACTGTTTGGCCTCCTCCCCATGATTTCCCTCTGAATCACCAGAGAAGTACCTCAGCATGGTGGGCCATCACTTTGGATAGGATTATCAAGTCTGTCTAAGCTCAACTTGTCTTTGGTGTTACCCATCTCTACACAATCTGCTCTCACTCAACAGAGAAGCAATCAACTCTCTGGTTAATGTCTCTTATCGATATTAGAACTTACCCTTGTGACAGCTGTTAGCTTTTAGCAGCCCAGTCCAAGACAAGTAGAGACAGTTAAAGGGGCCACCTTTATCTTTTGAACACCATAATATACTTAAAATAAACTGAATATGATCTATTTAAACCATTATTAATATAAACCAGTAGTTCTCATTTTACGGTCCAGACTCTTAATTTTATTAACTTGTGAATAAAAGAGTATTAAATGTCCAGAAAAAAGAAGAAAATCAAGATGAACAGGATATAGAACAAATGATAGGTTTGAGAATGTGTGCAGTCACCTCATTGAAGTCAACAACAACAAGTTTAGTACAACCATGAAATATTACATTATCAGGCTTCAAAATCAACTGCATGGGTAGCATGGTACTGATACAGTGATTTCAATGAAAAATATTTGGGTGCTTATTCAGTCACTTAATATGAAATAAGATTACAATGAAAATATACATAAATATGCTGTGCTCTGCAGGCATTCGAGAAACTTATCTAATGTTGGATCTCATATCTAAAAAAAGGATTATGAAAAGACATCCAGAATAATTCTTTTAAAAAACTTAATATAATATAATAATGGTGATTGAAGGAATTGATGACTAACAAGTCCATCTGGCCAGTTGTGGGTTATACTATTATTGGGGTAGACAATGGAAAAACAACAATTTTTTATTGTTCTAAAAAATTGCAAAAAGACTAGTTTTATGCTATTCCTGAAGATAAAATTAGGTTCAAAAGAGCAAACATAATACTAAAACATATTTTGGCTCAATATAAAACATCCACTTTCAAGGAATTTGAGTGTGTAGCAGAGACATAAGCTTCTTCATCAAATATAGAGCTGAGCATTAATGGAAATGTTCAAGAAGTTATATGACTAATTCTCATAATGACGCCTACTCTAGATTTAAATAAGAAAATGGAAATTTTATTTTTCTGGCCAATGTAAAAAATCTATGATTCCTCAATTTGAAAATGAGTTTCTTAAAGATAGGGTCTTCTTTTCTTTCATACTCCTTAAATTGGAAGCCTCCCCTTGAAATGGTGTTATGAATCATAGTGTTTCTTTCTTAATACTAGTGGATAATTTTTCTGATAAATGCATCAAGCGTGTATAACAAAAGGGATGATATAACACAATACCGAACACAGAGAAATAATTTTAAACAAATGGTTTTTTATTCATCCCTGATCTTATAGGACTTTACTTAAGCCAGATTTATTTAAGCCTGATTTATGCAGTCTTTGCTCATGGTTCCTTTGGCAACTGATAATGAAAATTATCATTTCTTTTTATTGAAATCTAAGATGTGTCATAAAAAAAAATCTTCTACTTAAAAGGCTTCAAACTTCATTTTTCAGAAAAATCCAGATTTCCTGTGATGAAACATTTCCTTACAATTTCATACATGATAAAATACATGTAGCAAATAATTTACATAAGATCCCTTCAATTTGTACAGTGGAAGTTTTTTTTTAATTTACAGAGGATTTTTAAACATAGAAAAATCAGGGAGAAAACAGCAAAATATTTTTAAACTTCATTGCTTAAAAGTAAGCTTCAGGTGACATTTTAAAATAAGCTTCAAATGCTGTGTTTTTGCTAGATTTACACCTCAAAACTGTTTCTATTTAGTTGATATTTATGTGGTGTTTCATATTTCCTGTCTCCAAAAAATATTCTTGAGGGGATATTGGCACATTTCCTCTCTGCAATACCACTGCAAGCATATTTAAAGATAAAGAAGACACTTTGGGAGGCTAAGGCGGAAGGATCACTTGAGGCCGTAAGTTAGAGGTGGCAGTGAGCTATGACATGCCATTGCACTCCAGTCTTGGCGACAGAGTGAGGCCCTGTCTCAAAAATAAATAAATACGTAAAAGAAAAGAAAAAGAAAAAAACATTCTGGCAAGTTCCTATAATAGCATTTCAGAGTTAGAAATAGAGGCTTGAATTTCAAACTGTTTGATCTTAGACAGTCATTTATCTACTTCACAAAGATGGTAGAAAATTGGTAGCTTTGTGTTGGATGAATGACACTATCATAGTACACAAAAGAGATACACATATTCTTCAGAATAAATCCTTCATGTGAGTCTTTTCAAATGGTGCTATGCTGTCACTTATATAGGGATGAATTTTCTGAGATTTTCCACTTCTTTTCCGTCGTGATAAATTCTGAAGTTTTTGTGAAGATAACTGTATTTCAAAGCAATTTAAAAATTTTCAAAATTGAGATGAAATAAGGGTCTAACTTTCCCTACTTGTTTCTAATAATTATGTTAAAACGTAATGTGTTTTACTGTTTTCCAAACATACTGCAGTCTAATGCAAGTGAGTTTCTCTCTTCAAAGAGCTGTTGATACTTTTTAAATTTTTATTTATTATGCTACTCTAATATATTCTGATTGTTTCAGGTTGAGTATTTTGCTACAATTGAATATTAGCTTCTATTAGCTTCAACTAGTAACACGAAAAATGGTGCAAAAGGAAGCTATGGAAGATATTCTACAAAGAAGATAATAGATTTTCTAAATGTTAATTTTAGCTTGAGATAAAAGCCAGAGTGTTTACTCTAATCATACAACGTTTCTCCTGTAAATCTTGAATTTCCAAATTAAATTGTCAGTCCCAAATAGATTGCATGGCAGAAAACAAAATTCTAAAGTTATTTGTGTCAAGTCTCTACAAGAAAGCCTAAAAGTAAGAGTGACAGAAATTAAAAGTATCTATAGTCAAGTTTCAGAGCACGGTGCATTTATTTTTGGTCAAAAAGTGACACAAAAGGAAATAGGGTGTGTTTTCCCTACTACAATAAAATATATGGGGAAAAAATGATAAAATGTTGATCGTATTTCCGAAATGGCAGAGTTCAATATTGAAGTATGAGAGAACCCAGAAATGTGAACATCAAAATATTGGGTGATTGTCCTGATCAGAGAATTAGACATCCCTAACCTATTAAACTTAAACACAATCATATGACTTGCTTTGCTAAGGAGATGTAAGTGAAAGTGACATGTGTCTCAGTCAGGCCGAAGGTTCTTTTCATTGACTCTGCAATTCTGGAAGCCTCCTTCTTCTTCTCCTTTTCCTTCTCCTTCTCCTCCTTCTTCTTTCTTCTTTTCAATGCATACTGATTTATCCAAGTGCCTAGAAAAATGCATGGCACAGAGTTATTGCTCAATTAGTACTCACTAAATAAATGACTGATTATTCTACCATCTCAGTTCAAGATTGATCTCTCTATAGTTTTAGTCTAGAGAATTTCAAATTAGTAGCAACCAATCTACTGTCATTCTTTTAGGCCTACAACTAGCATTTTCCACTCATATAATTGAAATACAAAAATAAAATACAGCAAATAGCTGTTCTGCCTCCTTATGGCCTTAGAGATAGAAATATAAAGGTGTGTTTATTTTGAATCTTTGCTTCAGCCACACTTGCATGCTTACTGCATGATAAAGCCTTATTCTTTTATTTAGGCCAGGCACCTGCTATACATAAGGGCACTCATCCACAGAAAAATAGCCACATGCCTTATCTAAAGACACAGTGACACAACAAATCTTCCTTCAGAAAGTGGCATTTAAGACTGCTTTTTTCTAGTAGTTCAGATTATAGAGACACCAGTTGCTAGTTATAATTGAGTGATTTTTTCCTTATATATACACATCTTAACTTTGGTTTCCCCTTTAACCTCCATGTTTTGGCAATCCAGAGCCAGAGTGGTTGATGCCTGATAAAGTACTTCCAAAACTTAGAGCCATTCCCCTCAGCAGAGTTCAAGCCAAGATCCTTGAACTCTACAAACCAAGCTTGCCCATAAAATGTTTCTTCATTGTTTATTCCAACTGGTTGCCCCCTTCCAATCAGGTAACATACTTATTCACTACACACTATCTTTGCAAATTGAGATTAGGCATTGTTCCACTGTTCTGAGAAGAAGACAAAAGAAGGATAAGACTACCTGGGGGGGAAATCTTAAAGGAAACCAGATTTGCGCAAAATAATTCATACAGAATAATCCTCCTTTATATGTGAGTGTCTTGATTGATCCCCCAAATCCGTCAAATTTGCCTTACTTTTTCCATTTTTGAAGATAAGGAATCTGAGCTTTAAAGAACTAAAATAAATTTGCAAAATCACACAATCTTCCATTGCCCATAGTTTCTAAATCTATTCACCTATTCACTACTGAAAATTTTATTTGAATCTTTAATTATATATAAGACTTCAACCGCTTATAAATAATTCCTCAAACCTTTTGAAACTCTGTTTCTATTATCTCACTAGTCAAGAATTTTCCATGTAGATTCTTTACGTTTAGATTGCACCAACAAATTCAAGGAAAGTATTTCTACAAAAAAGAAAGAAAGCCCCCTTTCCCCCACTTAAATGCTAATTACAAATGAATTTAGATTAGTCTGAAGTAGTGATTTTCAGTTAAGACTATGATACTAAATTTTGGACAGTTCTGGACTATTATATTTAGATGGGGGAGAGAAAAAAAAAGGAAGGACCAGAAGTAAATTAGAAGAGAAAATAATGGTGGCATCTAAATATGAAAAAACTAATACTTGAGACATAAATAATAAATTCTAGGTTAGGAGATGATCCCTAAGATACCCAAATTTTCTTCCTTTATACTCACATTCTCTCCCCTTTAACTCTCCTTTTCTCTTGTTTTTTTTTTTTTTTTGTTTTTCCCCCTCCTCATCCTACTATATTAAGCCCCATACTACACAAAATAAACATAAAATACACATGGGAACTTTAGGAGAATTTTTGATGAAATATAGATTTAAAAATGAATACAGTCACAAAAATTAAGTGTGACCTTAAAATACTAATTGAGTTTTAGCCCCCCCCCCCAAAAAAAAGAAGAAGTCATGTGTAAAAGTACCTATTGTTTACTTAAAACCTTGGCCAATTGTGCAATATCTATTACTAGAAATTTAAACCCTTAGAGTTGTCTTCAGAGCATGAGACTTTATTTTAGACATGTTCATCTTTGTGAATTACAGAGTGCAATTTGTTTTCAGCTAATCATTTGAGCTTGCACATGCTTTGTTAGAAGAAAATCTATTTTCCTTTTGATTTCATTCTACTCTAGAACTATCAAAGAACCTAAAGGCCGACAGTCTGAAAAGGGATTTAGTTTGAGCTTAGACCCAAGAAGGAGACTCTTAGTTTTGAATGATTCTCCTATAACCTGCTCCTTCGAGACTGAATTGAAACTGACATCCTATGTTGCCCCATTGCTGAGATGAGGCCAAGCTAACCAAGAGCTCTGTAAAGGCCATCTCCTTCTTTGACAAAGAATTAACTTATTCCTCAGTCTAAGCTTAGCCAGGGATGTTCCATGCTTGTGCTTTCACACCTTCAGTTCTTAGTATTGATTCAAGTTCATACATCTTAAAAATTCTTAACTATAGGCTGGGCGTGGTGGCTCATGCCTGTAACCCTAGCACTTTGGGAGGCTGAGATGGACAGATCACGAGGGCAGGAGTTCGAGACCAGCCTGACCAAAATGATGAAAACCCATCTCTACTGAAAATACAAAAATTAGCCTGGCGTGGTGGCAAGTACCTGTAATCCCAGCTACTCAGGAGGCGGAGGCAGGAGAATCGCTTGAACACGGGAGGTGGAGGTTGCAGTGAGCCGAGATCGCACCCTGCACTCCAGTCTGGGCGACAGAGCAAGACTCCATCTCAAAAATAAAAATAATAAAAAAATAAATTCTGAACTACTATACTCTATTTCTTTTGGCGGGTCCACATGAAATTTGCCAGCTTTTAAGGAAAATACAGTATTATGCCTACTTTCCCTAAACAAATGGGCTACCTCATAAGGGGCTACAATAAGTGAATAAAATACAAATATCTTTTTACCCAAGCCACTACAAAGTGTATCTCTTCTTTGCAGCCTAATAAAAATTTAATAAAAGTAGAAGTGAAATATATCTGCCCACTTTAATGAGGAATATGCTTGAGGAAAATAAAATGATGTAGTGGCAAATCTAAGGACGAAGTTAGAAAGGACTTCAGCAACCCGGGCATCAGCTAGCAAGGAATTGCAATAAAAAAAAAAATCAGAATAGAAGCCAAGAATCATAAAGCTATTACTGGAAATGACAGAAGAAAATAATGCTATTAAGGACAGGGATTCCTTCCCACACCCATCTGACAGAGTAAATTTCAAAAACTCAAAGATCATATGTGCTTCTAAGGAAAATGTGTAAGTTTTTGCCACCTTCCTTAGGGTTAACAAGTGGTCTATTCTCAGTAATTTAAATTTGAATTTTAGTTGAATTTTTTTTTTGGCGCTTTGTTGGGTAAGAGAAAAAATAAAGTTAGAAATGTATTACTTGACAAAGCTTTCTTTTATACTTGAAATTTTGTTTTGATTTTTGGTAGTAAGCAAAATCATTCACAAATGAACATATTAAATGAGAGGGATGTTCAAGTTGTGATGTGAGTTAAAAATAATCTATAATTATAACTAAGAACTGAGTGATTGACAAATAGTTCTGACAGAATTTTTGCTCTCCAGTCCTGGTAGATTCAGTTTTATAAAGAGTCTTACTTTATAGTCACCACTCATAAAGATGGATAGTGTTATCAAAACGTGGAATGCTAGGAGCTAGGAAAAAACTCAATAATGGGTTAACTTTTGAAAAATTAATAAGTAAAAAGCTGTTAAAATACACATTATAATAGTTAAAATATCATTTTATATGACTAAAACGAATACTTGTCAAAGCTTCTGTTCAGTTTAATAATTCATGAAATAACCAATGAGATGAAAAGTTTAATTAAAAAGAGAATTTGAAAACCAAGAGTTCATGTAGTCAGTCAACAGAATTGAATGAAATACATTTGCTAATAGATACAACCTGGTAAATGTCTAAAAGGCCATAAATCTGTAACATTTGGGGTTATCTTTTCGGCCAGACAAAAATCTAAAAGCTTGCATGTAACGGTCAATATTTTAGTTGTCAGGGCTCTAATTAAATATTTAATACTAAAGTCAAGCATAGGTGCTTCCTCCTTTATAATGAAATAAGCTTTGAATGAACCTATTAAAACCTAAAAAGCTATGACTTGAAAGAAGGAAAGATCATCCACCTGTTTTATTTCAAATTTGAATATTTTTCTCAAACCAAGTAAAAACAAATAAAAAGGTGTTCTGTAGAGAAGAGTTCACATTAGGTTAATAGTAAAACTAGATTTTTTTTTCTCTGTAAAAGTGAAGCGAGATACTAAAAATGAATATTCATTATATGTAAATGGCACATCATTTTCTGCAAGTATATACAGATTTTTTAAAAAGATACTAAATACAAATAGCGTTCAATTTAGAATTACACATATTCAGTTCAAATGCTGGAAATAAAAAAGTTTCAAATCAGAAGGGTATGGAAGACTTTACTTTTTTAAATGGGTGTTACTCAGGAAAGCCTTTTTTCTTTAATTGTGGAAGTTTCCCTTAGAGATTTGACCTCATAAGGAAAATCACTCAGTATTAACCCAACACATCGGGATATAAAATTTGGCATGCATGGAGCAGAAGTCTATGGCTTTAATTTGGTGATTCCATGTCAGGAAATAGTTTTTCCCTTTTATATTCTTGTTTTCACTCCAATGAAAGCCCATTTTAAATAATTACAATACCAGCCTCAGCATAAGAGTAAGATCAGCCAGCCACTCATAAACATATGTGGATGCATGAAGTAGGTGTGTTGTAAAACACACCCCACAACACCATTTATTTCACAGATTATAATAAAATGTTGTGAAGTAAATCACTTATTTAACAATTTATTTTACTCAGTGGGTTCCATAAAATATTTCCAATACTTTATTTCTAGGACAAAGTGGGATCACACAAATATTTATATGTATGTCTGCAGAAAACAAAGCAAAAGTTGAGAGCAAAAGGAAATTTGAGAATACAAGCATCTAATAATTATCATTAAAATGTCATTCATTGATAAGCAAAAATTCTATGGTAATTACTAACATTTTAATAATGACACTTAATTGCCATAAACTTACATAAAAATAAATTTTAAATATCAACATATCTTTAATAAACATGTACTAAGGATCTCAGCAACATCATATTTTACATTCCCTGGAAAATGATGA